AGCCAGCATGCTGGCTGGGGAATTCTGGGAGTTGAAGTCCACACATCATAAAGTTGCCAAAGTTGAGAAACACTGAACTAGAGTAATAAGGATAAAAAAGAATAGAGTCAGTTGAGTTACAAGTGTTTTGTTTCAACTGGTATTTTTCAGCTGCCTACTAAGTATCCACGGATTTGGGACTTTTCAAGATGAGAGGAAGCATTTGAAGTTGTAGGGTTTTTTACAACCTGGTTGGCATGTGGAAAGTTTGTCCATTCAAAAATGGCTGTGATGGTGGCAATCACAGAAAAATAGCCATTTGCCAAAAAGCGAATGAACAATGTTCAGAGCCATACATGTATACACACATGGATGCACACACTGCAAATGCACACATCAGTCTAATGTGACATGGACACAAAAAACATACCACAGCACACCAGATCCATAAACTAGAAAGCACCCACAGAACACAAAAAATGCAATGATACAGTTCTTGCAAAACAGCCTCTTTACTCATTAATTCTCTCTTTTGGCTCCCACAGGTTTTCTCTTCCATTCCTAGATTATCTTTTGTCTTTTTTTATTGGTACAATATATTTTCAATACCCTTTTTATTTCTTAAGGAGATCTATGGGTAAAATTAATATGGTGCCAGAGGCATTGCTGGAAATAAAGATTATGCTGGAGTTGCTATTTTCTTTGCAGCATGCTATATTCCCACTTGTAGATTACAAGGATTTTTTTCCAAAAATTGAGAAGTCATATGGAGCAGAATGAGGAACATATAGTAGGTGTCAAGATTCTTGGCTTCTTAATTTCATTGCAGTGTCTCTTGCATTAAGATTTGCCTAGCTGAATGTTCTGCAGACAGGTGAAAGGCATAGACCTCCAAATGTGTAGCGTAAAAGGTTATGTAGAACTAATTTCTTTATTATTAAAGAGTGTTCTTGAAGAAACGTACTGTCCACCCACTAGATTTCCTCTTTGCCCACAAGTGATGCTTTTTTGTTTTTCTTTTCTCAGCTCTCCAAACAGCTGCATCATATTTGATCAGAAATTATATAATTTGGGCATCTGCAGGACTATCTCTGCAGATGTCACAGATACCCCTTTGCATAAATTTGCTCTGCACAGAAAATAGCTGTTCAGCCAAGAGATAGTCTGTGTTTTGTGTATTGCTTATTCCATCCTACTGTCTTTTCTCTGCCTGGAGTTCTTATCTGCTCATGTTGAATAGTAATCATTGGGCTCTTGATCATTCAAGTCAAACTATCACTCCAAATTCAATTTATGGCCAAAATACAAATGCTGGAATGGAATTCATGATGGTTGAAACCTCAACTTGAATTTAAGGAACTCAACTTACCTGACAACATTTTGAGACAGTAACATGAGCTGGTTGGTATCATATTGTAGGCAGCCTAAACCACATACTGCACTAGTCAGCATGTGGAAAAAGAAATTCACCCCCCCCACCCCCACTAGCAGAAGAGGACTCTAATGGAGCCACCTAAAATCTGATTAGAAGAGTCAAAGATGCAAAAACATAAATCTTATCTTGGTTAAAATTTCTGTTCAAGGTTTCACCTTATTCTTGTTTAACAATGACCCTTGCCTGGATTTGCTGAATAAGAGAAGCAATACAGACTAAATTCAGCCTTTCTTAATTGAATTGTGGGCCAAGAAATGCAGCTTAGGCAATAAAGGCTCGAGGTGAGTTTGGCTGCTGCCTTTTGAAGTAAAAAAAAAGCTTTTTTCACATCAGTGTTCTTTGGGAAAATGTAATAAGATTTTCCATAAGGATATTTTTTTTTAATTTTTAATTAAGATTTTTCTTAATAAGAGCCAGCCTTCAGGGGCACCAATTCAAGAAATCTGACCTAAGACAGTAGCATCCTGCCTCCACTGAGAGGAGCAGATTTAACAGTTAAGCCCCTGAAAGTTCAATGAATCTTTAGTGTTCTCACTGCTTGCAAAATCAATTCGCTATAGCAAGAATGTTGGAAAGATTTTAGCAACCGAGTCATATGGCACCTTTAAGTCTAACAGATTTCATGGGCTAGAGCTTACCCAATCCAAACAAGTGAATTCTTGTCTATGAAAGCTTGACATTACTTATTTATTAGTCTTTGAATTGCCAAGGGACGGCTGCTTCCCCCCCCCCAAAATATACTAACATTGTTACTCTTTAAAAACTTGTCATCTTTTTGAAGACCAAGTGAATTCCATATTTGGTTTGCATGCAATATCATATTAGCAATGTCAATCTTCTGAAAGCAATTCCTGCAGAGGGTCTAAGTTGCTCAAATTTCAAGAGGAGACTCTGTAGTCAGCTGGCGTACAGCTGAATATACTGCTAATGTAACTTTGATACTATGATAACTTGCTATTATCACCAATTATCAAGGTTGTTTTTAAAATGTATGTTTGCTTCCCAACAACTGACTACATGATTAACAACCAATAATTCCATCTTCTCCAGCAGAATAATTCCACTGTGATTTTGTTTTGAAAGCTATACAGGATCACTCAGCCAACTTCTGTTGTGAGCTTAAAGTTTATATTATAATAATTTACAACAAGCCTTTAAGAATGCACTCCCATACCTAATTACCTGAAAGAAAGTCCCACAATAAAAAGGCTAGGTAGGCACATGTAAAATCCAGCTTTAAGGAAATTAAAATCTCAACGTTTTCTTTATTTTAAATGCGAATCCCAGTAATTGTTTATGTTTATCCAATTCCTATATTCAAACAATAATACTGCAATAAGGGAAAAAATTCTGTTACAAGTATCTATTTTACTTTGCCATTTTTAATGAGAAAGTTGATCAAGAGTAAAAGGTGTGTTATATATGCCCCTAAGCAAGGAATAAGTAATATCTAGAATTTCAAGGTGAAAAACCTAACATTTTAGGTGAATGGAAAGCAAATGCACATCATTTTTCTAGCATTATTACAGTATGTGCATGTGGTCACTGCAACTTTTTCTTTTACAAATTAAGCATTTGAAAATCTATGTCTAATTATTTAGTCCAAGGAAATCAAGTCAGTTGCTTATTTTAACTCAATCACAAAATATTCAACAATAACCAGGATAGTATAAATCATTAAAACAACAACAACAGAGTAATGAGGGCAAAGACTCAGTCAGGCAGAGTGAACACTACATATTGAAAATAAAATGACATCTAATGGACTGCTGAAGAATTAAAGCTCTGTAGAAACAGAACAGAATGCCACTTGGTGAACCAGACGCAATACTTATATGCAAATATCCATCTACAAATACATACTTATATTCCCAAATAATAAAACTTCATTGATTAGCTTAACTTCATTCAGTTTTCTTCCCCAGATTGCCATGAAGCAACCTAAGCTAGCTTCAAATAAGTGAACAAAATTAAGAAGCCTTCATCTAGTCTTAGGTCAAAAGCCACCACACTGGTGTTTGAAAGAGGCACTTTCTCATATACCACAACCTGATGACAAAGGCACCATGGAACATGAGCTCATGGATGCTTTGGTAAGGCCTCACCTCTGGGTCCTGTAATGACAGGTCGATGATGCTGGGTGAATGCCGTTCCAAGGGAGGAGGTCTGTGAAGGCGAGGGACTGCTGAAACCAGACTTCTCTGACTTCTTTAATGTAGTTGGCGATGGCATTCCTGGCAAGAATGATTGATACGTGCAATTTAATAATGCTAGCTCACGGAAAAATGCCTATGCATTTGGAAACTGGGTGTGAAAGCAAATAGATAAACTTAAAGGACAAATTAAACTGCATACAACAGCAAGCTTACTTTTATTTATGACTGTCTTTGAGAACAATGGGCGGCTACTACGGACGTAAGGAAAGGCACATTAAAATGCAGCCATATTTTTCTTTTTAAATCTCTGAGGGCAGTACTGGCACCTCATTAATTACCACTCTTATCAAGTTTCATCAATAAATGCTACTTTGAGATGTGTCTGTATTTTTAAGGGACTGTTCTGCCTTTCATTCTGTCTAGTTTATGAACAGGTATTAAAAATGTCTCATAGAGTCAACAGAGTTCAGTGGTTTGGAACTTCAATGACTGGGCTGCAAAAATGAGTAACTCTTCTCTCTCAAGTTCCCGCTTGTTTCATAGCCTCTGAGAATCTGGAGTAGTTTACAACAATTCAGGCAGTAGATTGAAGGCTTCAGGGATCTGTAAAAAGCATTTCTGTGGTTGTAAACATTTTGAGGGAAAAACAGTATTTCTGAATTTCTCTTATCTCTCTCTTAGTTGCTCCCAATCTAATATCTCCTGATTTGTTCAGTATACATCTTTTATAATTCCCAACAACTATGGCCAACTAAGCTTCATTCCATCACATCTGAGGATATCAGATTAGGAAAGGCTATTCTGTGTGACAGGATAAAAGGATGTTTCCCAAGTCGACTGAACATACTCTAATTTGAATGTTGTTATAAATGATTATGTTTATATGTCTGCTTTCTTCTCCTACTTTGGGTTGACTGCTGAAAAAGATCTCTATTGGAAAACAAATTTTCTAAGATAGTGAGAACCTATTAACATCAATTGCAAAAACCAGCTTTAGTATTACCAGAACCACAGAAAGCTGTCTTATACCAAGCCTGACAGTTTGTCCATTTATTCCAATATTTTCTGCATGGATTGACAAGGGCTCACTGTTCTGGTAACCCTACTACAGCATTGTGAGAAATGACTGGAGGGAAGGGAGAACCAGGAAGACTGCCTCCCCCACTTCCCTCCTTGCACATGGGGCAACTGTTGGTTCACTGTGCCTTCTATGTATGGAGCATAGCTGTTCAGGAAATAGCCAACATGGAAAAGTAACTTAAACTTTTACTTTGAAATTTAGTATATGGTAACTTTACTGTATGATGGGCAGATGTAGAGATCTATACATAAAGTATAAAGATACAGGCCTAAAATGTAATGAAACACAGGACAGAAAGGAGCGGTTAGGTCAGAACAAAGGATAGTTCTTTAGTCTTTCATATCTACCTATCTACTTACCATCCATCCCCAATTTCTAGACTATCCAACCCCAAAAATGACTCTGGGTGGCTTCACAAAGATAAATATAGAGAAAATCACCCCCACCCCAATCGCTCAAAGGGATCAATGAAAAAACCAATCTCCCACATCAACCCCAATCTAGAGGAATCTACCATATACCTAACCTAAGGCTTGAGGGAAGACATCCATTTTTAGGGCTCACTTGAAAGTGGAGGCTGTACAGATCTTTGGGGAGATGCTGTTCCAGAGGGCAGGCACTGTGAGAGGGAAGGGCCACTTCCTGTTCCCTCTACATGACATTGCTTAATTGTCAGGACCCAAAGCAAGCCAGTTCTGTCTGATCACACAGGACAGGCAGATACTATAGGAGACAGACATCCCTCAAATGCCTAGGCTCTATGCCACATAACCCAGCACTAGGCAGATCCAAAATACTGTCAACCCCTGCTGTGATGTTCTGCTGATACTCATTATAAGAGCCTTTTAATGGAGTTAAGCCATTAAAAACTCACTGAACTGAACAGGGCTTTATTTCTAAATAGACATGCTTATGACTGCACTTTAATGTCAGAAATTTTACTTACATATGAGATTCACCGTGTTCAAGGAGGTGTAATCTTTAGAAATAAGTGCTCTTAACACTGCAGTCTTAAGATGATCATAAATGACTGTATTTTAGTTTAACTGAACTCAATTTAATTAAAATGAAAATCAGATTACTGAATTACAGAAGTATGAGAATTGTACTTTATACTGTAAATAATGATTTGCTGGTGGTGAGTAGCCCCTAAACTGCTATCCTGTGCAGATTTATATGGGCAGAAACATAACTTCATATACTGAGACCTCCTTCTGAGAAAACAGAAGTCAGTTTCTCGTTGCTTGATTATAAGCCAGGAGACCCCTGTTTAATATCTCCACCCAGTGCTTTCTTATTGGGTTTTTGTAAGAATTACTGAGAAAATATATATGAAGCGCTAAGGAAAATACAAAATATTAAATGCCAAATTATCAGTTTACTGTCTATAAACTGACGGATTTAAGTTAGCCATAACCAATTTAACCTTTTTAAAAGGCATTTAGCATAACCATCTTTTTCTGGATTTGGAGTCCTGAGGAATAATAAACATAAGTTAGAGAAGTAACAAATAAAAATAAAAGGACAAAAAAGAATTGGGGAGCTTAGGCTCAGAGTTGCTCACCCCACACCATCTTAGCTTAGTATTTGTAAACTTTTTATTATTCTAGTAAACGTAGATAAACAAAGGGCACTGACTTATGAGCAAATGCATATAAATGTTAAAATCACCTTCAAACTGGACCCAACATCTGATGACCACATGGACACATCCATGTAGTTTTCTTGACACCAATATACAAGGGATTGATGTGTATTACATCAACACATCCACAAATAATAATAATAATAATAATAATAATAATAATAATAATAATAATAATAATAATAATAATAATAATAATAATAATAATAATAATAATAATAATAATAATAATAATAATAATAATAATAATAATAATAATAATAATAATAATAATAATAATAATAATAATGATGATAATAATTATTATTAGCAATTATCATCCCAAATCTATCTCACAGGGTTGTTATGTGGAAAAAACAGAAGAGGGAGCATTATGTGCACTGCCTTGAACTCCTATTACAAAAGGTGGTATATAATAATAAATACATGTGATATAACCCTGTTTTGTCCTTTGGTGTACTGTACAAATCAATAGGTGCAAAACAAATAGCCTAATTCACCATTTATGATCTGTATTTTACTAACCCATTTGATTCCACCATAATATTCTGTTTGAATGGTGGAATTGAATGGGTTAGTAAAATACAGATTAAAACCTGCATGCAGGAATGAAAGCTTTAAGAATAATCTAAAATAAATGTTATTCTTCTAAAATTATTCCAGACTTTTGATAATGTCCTTTGCAAGAAATGACTATATTTACAATTAAAAAAACACAAAACCTGGGAGGCTATTTTAGTACCCTGTGTTTCGTTAAGGTTTCTGATATGTCCTGATATTTCTTAGCATGGTCTCTTTCATTTATTCATACTGTTAATTTGAATCAGCATCTGATTTACTTTCTTAGTCCACCCCCAATTAAACATTCATCCATCTGGGACAAACACTGCACACAGAACTCGCAAATGGAAATAAAACTTCAGTATTCAACAGAAAGTCAGACTATTTCAAAACTGAGTAATTTCAAGAGGCTAACAAAGTATAAGTCCCACCAAAATAAAAAGGATTCTGATAGTATATGAAAGTAGCATATGATGAAAGTACAGTAACAAAATTAAGAATCAAAATGACTAACAAGCCATGTAGTAGTGCTGTTCATGCAACAGAGCATTGTTCTATCTAAGCTGTAGATCTGGAGCAACTAGAGAGAAGCCCCTTTTAGGACATAGGAGAAAAAATGCATGAAGAGCAGATGGAGGCATATCCTCAAACCTTGCCTTCTCTTTGTGGATGAGTAAGGGCCTAAGTGAGGGTATGACTGCATGCGACTAAATGCATTAGCTGTCTTTGTATAATCAGATTATGAAGATGACTGTAATTGCATTTAGCCAAATGCAGTTATGCTTTCACTCCAATCTTTCTTTGTTGACATGGGAAAATCAGGGATGAAGGCACCCATCTGAATCGTGAATCCATGTCTTACAAATTTATATACTGCAATTCCAAACAGAGGTACTGAAGGCCAAAGGTGTAAGGTAATTTAGTAGCAATGAATGTTGTTCTATCAGTTACTTTGAATTAATTAGATGACTTATTACTTTCCTACCAAAGATGGAACAAAATTTATATACAAATATATAAATAATAATATGTGAGATTCTTATAGGAATTAAATAACAGTGTTGTAAAATCTTAAGACATAATTCCTGCATTAAAGGAGGTTCCTCATTCTGCATTCCTCAGATCTCCATAAGGGTTGCTATATTGTGTCATCCAGTTGTTTACTTAAGTTTGACTCCCAAAGTTTTTTTTTTCAAACCTTGTCTAGGATAATCTGTATCTATTTCCAACAAGTATGAGTAATTTTTCGATACTGAATCTTGTGCAAAAAATTAATAATTTCTCAGAATTGGATAGTGGGCAGTAAACAGACTTTTATCTATTTCTGAATTGTTACAACATAGTTCCATGCTCATCATCTGACCAGAAGTTAATTAATGGCAACAAAAGTTACGCACATACATGTTTATGAACAGTATTGTCTAGTACTGTTCAACAGAAACAATATGTTCAGTATGAAACAGAAATGTAGCCTAGCGTATCATAATAATGATGCTATCTTAATCATACAGGGAGAATCCATTTCCTGTTTTTTTGCTGATGGCAGTGGAACTGGGAGATGACAACTTCCCTCACAACTGCTCTGCCTGTTTAGGATATAATCGGGAACAACTTTTGTTTTCTGTGAGGGACTGAAATGGGAAAGTGAGAAGGTGACCACTGGCACAAGGATTTTTACCTGCTTGTACCAGGAGAAAAAAACCTAAGCACAATAAAAAAAGGAAAATATGCTTGCCAAAATAAAGCTGTTTTAATGATTACTTTGGCAAAATCTCTCAGTTATCAGATGAA